ACTGATGGTTCACCCAGAAGTTGAAGGCCACGAATTAGATGGAAAGACCAAGTAGAATACAACATCTGGGAACATGGAAGAGATGCGCACAAGACCGACGCGCTTGGAAATATTTTTTAAGTTCGGCTTATGAAAAAACCGTTCTGCAACAAGCCAACTAAGTAAGTACATTTATTTTATGGTACAGTTTAAATCTTTTTCCAGTATATATATGACCCCAAATTTATTTAAACGAATTTCTATGGCCTATGAATACGTCCGGTTATTTTTACAATACCCGTTTTCAAATTCTTATCTTTATTATTATTGATATTTATTTCAAATTGCCATGTGGCATCGGGCAAGAGAGGTGGATACGATTCTTCATTGACGGTATAGTTGCGAACGGCATAGAGGACATCCTAGAATGAAAAAAATTATTTGTTACTATTTCATTTTTTTTTCGATTTCCACAACCTTTACTCTTACCTTTTGCAATGGACAATAACGCGGTATATTCGATGTTCGTAACATTTCATTTTTAAATATGGCCAAAAATTTATTCGGTGCTGTATTGTTGAGAGCCTCGCAAATATCAACCGACATTTGAAAGATATTTAACCGACGCTTACCCTTCGTCAATAGATAAACGGATGCCACAACGGGTATTTTATTCACCTTCCTATTGAATATAGCATCCATATTTGCTGCCTTTGAATTTGTCAGAGAAAAGTTTAGGGATTTGATGAATGGTATACCCGTGATGACCGGAGTTATGTGGTCAATATCAATTCTGTATTCACGCTGTGTGGGGAAATAAGCGTATACTTTTATTACGTTTTTTTGTAGAATATTAAAAAAAATAATAATAAATTATTACAAATGTTTGTAATGTGGCACCTACCTTAGCTTTGGCCATTGACCCGCTCATTAGGATGATCGTAAAAGAGCACAGTATTCGATACATGTTTTCGAATTTTTGTTTTAATCTTACGAATTATTTGAAAATATTTCGTCCAAAATGTGAGATACGCCTAAAATGTTTTTAAATAATTTAGTAATTATTATCAAATGGTTAAAAAATTGCTCGAAAATTAAATGCGAACTTAATGTCGAAGTAATATGATTTTAATTGGCGTTTTCATGGAGAAATTAGTAATAATTATACATCGGTCGGCATTAAAAAAAAAAAAAATACCTGGTACTCTTCCTACCAAGGAAAATATGATTTGTCATTTCAGGTTATTAGGCGGTAAAATACATCTTTGCTGAAAAATGTTTAATATAGGTCCATATGATGACATATATCCCTTATAAAGGACTTCCACAATCAAAAGCAGAGCCGTTATATGGGATCTACTTCAAAATTAGGAAATAATCTATCGGCTGAGAATCCAAAATACAGAATTACAACCATACTGATTGAAAAACCTCCAAAATCGCCGTTATATGGGGGCTACTCTAAAAGATAGACCAATATTGGGACTCCATTGGGGGGCTATAACAGAAGATGGACCGATATACCCAATGATAACCCAAAATTCTAACTTACAACCAAATTTTTTTTTCAAAAAAAAAAAACTGCTTAAAATACCCATAATAAATCGGGATACTGCCGTATGGGGGTGTATCAAAATGGACTGATATATTTCAGGTTCAATACCATATATTGTACAAGTATTAGTAAGCAGAGCCGTTATATGGGATCTACCTCAAAACGTAACATTTATTGGTTAGGAAATTATCTATCGGCTGAGAATCCAAAATACAGAATTACAACAATACCGATTGAAAAACCTCCAAAATCGCCCCAAAAACACCGAAATTTTGGGGATGCCGTTATATGGGGGCTACTCTAAAAGATAGACCAATATTGGGACTCCATTGGGGGCTATAACAGAAGATGGGCCGATATACCCAATGATAACCCAAAATTCTAACTTACAACCAAATTTTTTTTCAAAAAAAAAAAAAAAACTGCTTAAAATACCCATAATAAATCGGGATACTGAAAAAATTAATATACACTCTACTATATGGTGGAGGGTACAACAAATATTTAAAAAACGACTTCATCTCATAATTTTGGGTATTGAATATGCCTTACTGAATATTTCGATGCCTTTTTATAATCTCCACCATAAGGATGGCATTCAAAATATTTAAAATTAATGGGGATTCCTAGGAGAAAATTAATGTTTTATAAAATCTTGAATGTACCGCGCTGGGGCTATACCAAAACGGGGACCAATATCGATAATTTCGGGTGAAGACATTAGTGAAGACATTGTACCACAGTAGAGGGTATTATGTCACTGTGCATATGTTTGTAACAGGCAAAAAGGAATCGAGATAGACCCATGGTTCCTTTTGAGAATATGCATAGAATCACTTTCTGAGTCGATTTTTGCATGTCCGTCGGTCCATCCGTCTGTTAATATTTTAAATTAATGGGGGTTCCTAGGAGAAAACTCATATTTTATGTTTAATGGGGCTATACCAAAACGTGGAACAGTATTGATAATTTCGGGTGGTGAAGTCATTTCATTTCTATTTCAAATGGTGAAACGTATCATATAGTCGGCCCGTCCGACTATTGAGGTTTCCTTACTGTTTTTATACCCTTCACCTAGGTACAGGGTATTATGTCTCTGTGGTACAGGTATTATGTCTCTGTGCATATGTTTGTAACAGGCATAAAGAGACGAGATAGACCCATGGTTCCTTTTTCTGAGTCGATTTAAGCATGACCGTCCGTCTGTTGATGTTAAATTCTAAACAAAGTACAGGTCGCATTTATAATTCGATCTGGATGAAATTTGGTACAGCTCATTTATTTGGCCCAAGGACGAACCCTATTTAAATTGGTGAAAATCGGTTCAGATTTAGATATGGCTCCCATATATATTTTATGTAAATGGTGCAATCGGTTGGTGAAAATCGGTTCAGATTTAGATATGGCTCCCATATATATTTTATGTAAATGGTGCAGCAAAGCCCTTATAATACTTTCGATTTGCACGAAATTTGGCATAGAGTACTGAATTAAGTCTGAAATGATGTGTGCTAAATTTAAAAATCGGTTCAGTTTTAGATATAGCTTCGATAAATATTTTCGTCCGATTTTAAGTAAATTGGGCACCAAAGCCCCTATATACCTTTCGATTTGCTCGAAATTTGGCTCAGCGTACTGAATTAAGCCTAGAATGATGTGTGCTAAGTTTCGTGAAAATCGGTTCAGATTTAGATATAGCTCCAATATATATTTTCGTCCGATTTAAGGTATATGGTGCATCAAAGTTCCTAAATAGCGTACTAAGTTAAGTCTAGAATGATGTATGTTAAGTTTCGTGAAAATCGGTTCAGATTTAGATATAGCTCCCATATATATTTTCGTCCGATTTAAGGTAAATGATAGACCAAAGGTCCTAAATATCTTTCGATTTGCACGAAATTTGGCTCAGCGTACTGAATTAAGCCTAGAATGATATGTGCTAAGTTTCGTGAAAATCGGTTCAGATTTAGATATAGCTCCAATATATATTTTCGTCCGATTTAAGGTATATGGTGCATCAAAGTTCCTAAATAGCGTACTAAGTTAAGTCTAGAATGATGTATGTTAAGTTTCGTGAAAATCGGTTCAGTTTTAGATATAGCTTCGATAAATATTTTCGTCCGATTTTAAGTAAATTGGGCACCAAAGCCCCTATATACCTTTCGATTTGCTCGAAATTTGGCTCAGCGTACTGAATTAAGCCTAGAATGATGTGTGCTAAGTTTCGTGAAAATCGGTTCAGATTTAGATATAGCTCCAATATATATTTTCGTCCGATTTAAGGTATATGGTGCAGTTCCTAAATAGCGTACTAAGTTAAGTCTAGAATGATGTATGTTAAGTTTCGTGAAAATCGTTTCAGATTTAGATATAGCTCCCATATATATTTTCAGATTAAGGTAAATGATAGACCAAAGGTCCTAAATATCTTTCGATTTATAAATTTGGCTCAGCGTACTGAATTAAGCCTAGAATGATATGTGCTAAGTTTCGTGAAAATCGGTTCAGATTTAGATATAGCTCCCATATATATTTTCGTCCGATTTAAGGTAAATGGTGTACCAAAGTCCCAATATATCTTTCGATTTGCACGAAATTTGGCATAGCGTACTAAGTTCAGTATAGAATGATGTGTGCTAAGATTTAAGTTCGTTCAATCTCAATGTTCCATCGAAAGGGTGACGTCTATTAGGATATATATTTGGAATATACCAAAGTGGTGAAGGATATCATATAGTCGGCCCAGTCCGATTTTACTACTTTCCTTGCTGGTTCAGTTTAGTTTTTTCAGTTTTGGAGGCATATCTGTCCTGCTATAGTTATTATAATACTTTTATGTTTTTTTTTAATATTTATTTTTGATTTATGTAAATATATATTTTAATTATTATATTACAAAAAATATATATAAATGTAAATATGCTATATAGCTAATATTAGTTTATATTGTATATATAGTTATTAATAAAAAAATAATAAAAATAACTTAAAAAATATTAACCATGGTTAATTATTTAATTTTTTCATTAATGATCTACTATATATTTATTTAATAATATTTACTATTTTCTAAATTATGTTTATTTAATAATAATTGCAACAGTTGTAAAAATATGTTTCAGTTGTTAATAATTGCTTTTAATATATAAATAATAATATTATAATAAAATATTTCATTATTTTTTAATAAAAATGCATAAACAAAATGTGCGTTTATTTAATAATTAAAATTATTTAATTTAGTTTGTTAAATTATGCATTCTAGTATATAACTATGGAAGTCGATTTTTTCATAAACTTACAAACAACGATATTTTTAAAATAGTTTTTAATTGTGTAGAAAAAAAATATATTTTTTATAAAAATTATTGCAGCACTAAAATATAACTATTTATTTATCGTATTTTATTTATGGTTTTGTATTCGCTTTGCGCCCGCAGCTGTTCCAACCATCCATCTGACAATTTCAAAGTCTATCTCTGAAGGATTTTTTCGTTTTCTTACAGAATAAATTGCGACAGTTGCAAACAAACGCAAGGAATGTCACGACGAAGATAACAATCGATGCCAAGACCAGGGCCACCGTTGTGGTCTGATCGTACGTGAAGGTGGGATCCAATTTATGATCTTGTGGCAGTAATTGAAAATCGACTAGCACTTGGGTACCGTTCGGTGGTGGACAGGGTTGTTGTACTATAATTTCTTGATGTTGCACCTAAAAGCGGGAGAAGAGGGAGAAAGATGTAATGAGGAGGAAGATAAAATAAATAAAAAAATTCTATAGAAAAAAATTCGAGGACCCCAGGTTCTCAACTGTTTTTCTATAGAAAAAAATTCGAGGACCCCAGGTTCTATATAAAAAAATTCGAGGACCCCAGGTTCTCAACTGTTTTTCTATAGAAAAAAATTCGAGGACCCCAGGTTCTCAACTGTTTTTCTATAGAAAAAAATTCGAGGACCCCAGGTTCTCAACTGTTTTTCTATAGAAAAAAATTCGAGGACCCCAGGTTCTCAACTGTTTTTCTATAGAAAAAAATTCGAGGACCCCAGGTTCTCAACTGTTTTTCTATAGAAAAAAATTCGAGGACCCCAGGTTCTCAACTGTTTTTCTATAGAAAAAAATTCGAGGACCCCAGGTTCTCAACTGTTTTTCTATAGAAAAAAATTCGAGGACCCCAGGTTCTCAACTGTTTTTCTATAGAAAAAAATTCGAGGACCCCAGGTTCTCAACTGTTTTTCTATAGAAAAAAATTCGAGGACCCCAGGTTCTCAACTGTTTTTCTATAGAAAAAAATTCGAGGACCCCAGGTTTCAACTGTTTTTCTATAGAAAAAAATTCTGTCTCAACTGTTTTTCTATAGAAAAAAATTCGAGGACCCCAGGTTCTCAACTGTTTTTCTATAGAAAAAAATTCGAGGACCCCAGGTTCTCAACTGTTTTTCTATAGAAAAAAATTCGAGGACCCCAGGTTCTCAACTGTTTTTCTATAGAAAAAAAATCGAGGACCCCAGGTTCTCAACTGTTTTTCTATAGAAAAATTTCGAGGACTCAAGGTTCTCAACTGTTTTTCTATAGAAAAACAATTCGAGGACCCCAGGTTCTCAACTGTTTTTCTATAGAAAAAAATTCGAGGACCCCAGGTTCTCAACTGTTTTTCTATAGAAAAAAATTCGAGGACCCCAGGTTCTCAACTGTTTTTCTATAGAAAAAAATTCGAGGACCCCAGGTTCTCAACTGTTTTTCTCGAGGACCCCAGGTTCTCAACTGTTTTTCTATAGAAAAAAAAATCGAGGACCCCAGGTTCTCAACTGTTTTTCTATAGAAAAATATTCGAGGAGCCCCTGGTTCTCAACTGTTTTTCTATGGAAAAAAAATTCGATGACCCCAGGTTCTCAACTGTTTTTCTATAGAAAAAAATTCGAGGACCCCAGGTTCTCAACTGTTTTTCTATAGAAAAAAATCGAGGACCTCAGGTTCTCAACGGGTTTTCTGTGGGAAAAAAATTGGGAACCCTGTATCCCTTCCTTTTGGTGTAGAAAAAATTAAGTTCTCTGCTTCTGAACTTTTTTCTATAAAATTCTGGTTAATTTCCTTACCTGTTTATTACGACATAACTGCAGTCCTGCCGAATTGGCCAATGTCTCGGCACTATATTCATCTTGTACCAGAACAGGTAATAACCATTTTTCCGGTGATATCAATTCCGACCATGCCCATATCTTTGAAATATTCTTTGGATGTACAGAATAACCACCGACAGCGGTAAGACCCAAAGAGATGAGAGTATTTAAAATTGTCGATGCCACTTTGCTGGGCATTAGGTGAGCACAGAATATTGCCAGGGTTTGTATGACCGTCAGGTACAGCAGCATGTAACCTAAGGAGGAAATCGATTAGCTATAAAGTCGGATATCAGATCCGAAATCACTTACCCATATATAGATATATGCCAGTATCACTGCTGGTACTGTAGGTATACAAACCGGCCATGCTATGGGCTGGGAGCAAATATGCCAACCAGATACATAAGCTAGGGAAGAGACCAGCCAGATTCTATGTGGAAATGATGGAGAAAAATTATTTTATATTGTTAGGGGTATTAGAGGCCTGGCCATCTTACCTGTACTATAATATATAACGATCTTGAGTATAATCCCAATCGTAAATCTCTTTCGGCATGACGACGATCTTCTTGGGTATCCCTAATGGTTAACATTAGCAGAGGCCAATACATTAACGCCATGACACAATGATGATAACCCAAACGATCGTTATATGTTAGTTGGGGATCTGAGGCGGGTACATCCCAAAATATACAGCCGATACACAGGGAGAGCACGGCCGCCGATATTAGTTTACTTATCCAGGTGAGTAGAGAGCCGGGTTGTTTATAGGCAGCAAAACGTTTCACCAGAGCTTTCATTTGACCAAAGAACCCTGCTTTGCGTACAAAATTTGGCAAGGCTGCCGGTGGTGCGGCCAAGGGAGGTTCCGAGTTAATTTGATCCCAGGAATTTGCCAATGACTCGATGCGTGCTGAAGATTCGAGCAGAGCGGCAGCTGACAGATCATCCAAGGTGACCAAATCCACTGAAAGAAAAATACGAATTTAAAATCTGAAATAAGAGGATGCTGGATAAGCCTCTAAACTCACAGTAATAATCCGCTGGATTCTTGAAGGGCGGACATGGATAACCCAGCTCCCCCATGTGTCTTGGCAAATCTGAACGACTGCCGGAGAACACGGTACGTCCTCCGGACAACAGCAGGACACCCGAACACATGGACAATATTTCAAATGTGGGTGGTTGGAGGGTCATTATAACTATCCGACCACCGCTGCACCATTGACGTAAATATTCGACCAAGAAGAAGGTATCGAATATATCCATATTTGATGTGACTTGATCCAAAATTAAAATCGATGACTGGGCCAATAGCTGGCAGGCCACGCTAAGGCGTTGTTTTTCCGAATGCGTTAACGAGGAAACATTGGAGGCACGTACTGTGGTCAAACCCAAATCCTCAATAAGGACATCCATCTGGAAAACAAAATCAACAGAATTAAAAATAAATCCTCTCTGGACCCTATTCCACTTACCCTCTCCTTTAAATCACTTCTATCCATTGGACCCCTCAGCGTAGCATGGAAATTCAATGTACACTGGACACTCATTCTCGGATCCAGTGAGGAGACATTTAAAGCAGGCACATAACTACACAATTCCCTTAGACCGCGACGATTTATCTGTTGACCATTGATGAGTATCTCTCCGCCGATCCGTTCATTTAGCCCAGCCAAACATTCGGTCAATGCTGTGCCCTCTTTTTGTGATGTCGCCATAATGGCAAATAAATCTCCCGCCTTAGCCTGCAGTGATACACCTCGCAAACAGGGGTTGACATCTAAACAATGAACCTGGATATTGGGATAGACCAATCCTATTTCGGAACGTTTACGTTGTGACACACCACCATAATTTGATATATGACTACCGCCATTGGCATGTTCCATGTGATGATGGCGATTTCTTGAAGTACCATAGATTCGTGACTCCGCGCCACCGCCGCCATAATCGTAGACATCATTGCCGCCAGCACTGGCCAAAAGATCCGCTTCACTATGTGAACGATGGCCATAATGTTTGCCATTGGGCATGTGATGATGTTGGGGATGATGGCTATTTACATGGGTTCCGACTACAGGGGAGAGAGGAGGATGTAAATAAATCAAATAATAATAGGAAGAATCAGGAACCCGGGATCCGAAATTTTTTCCCAATGTATAGAAAAAAATAAATCAAATAATAAAAAACAGTTGAGAACCATGGCTCCCGAATTGTTTTTCTATAAAAACAGTTGAGAACCTGGGATCCTCGAATTGTTTTTCTATAGAAAAACAGTTGAGAACATGGGGCCCTCGAATTGTTTTTCTATAGAAAAACAGTTGAGAACCTGGGGCCATCGAATTGTTTTTCTATAGAAAAACAGTTGAGAAACTGGGGTCCTCGATTTTTTTTCTATAAAAAAAACAGTTGAGAACCTGGGGTCCTCGAATTTTTTTCTATAGAAAAAACCGTTGAGAACCTGGGGTCCTCGATTTTTTTTCTATAGCAAAAGTTGAGAACCAGGGTTCCCCGAATTTTCTATAAAAACAGTTGAAAGCTTGGGGCTCTAGACGTCTTTCTTGTTACTTACCCGCTATACTAGCTCGACTGTTAGCTTGTCTAAGGGCGGACATTGGTATGCCTTGCGCACGAGAATCGGGACGTGATGAGGGTATACCACCAATGGCACGAAAATCCGATTCGCTACGGTATTTTCTGTAATTGGAAAGAAATCTTAATTTAAATATGTTTTCTTTTTTAAAAAAATATGAGCAATGTTATTAAATCCGAACTTGTTTTCACAACAGAATAAACGATCAGGGCCAATAGCGTCTTGCGAATGCCCTGCATACTCGTGATCATATTAAAATATTTTTATTAATAAAAATAAAAATGTGTTAATTGTATCTAACGGTCTGCGTGAACGACGTGATGTTTATTTTTGAAATTAGCAGATAAGTGGAAAAAATTCCGAATGGGGGTATTTCGAAGTGTCGTAGTCCGAATATTGAAAGAAATTAAAATATTCTCTCTGTGGCGATCATTTATGAGAATGAGAATTTGGTCATTGAAAAGCAGAAAAATCCAGAGACCCATGGTTCCCATTTTTTATAGATAAAATTCGGGTAAAATTCGGAAATGGGTGTCAAATTTTCCCAGTAATATTTTTTTTCTATAGAAAAAAATCGAAGACCTCATACCCCAGATTCTCAAATTTTTTTATGGAAAAAAACGAGGACCTCATGTTATTAACTGTTTTTCTACAGAAAAAATAGGATTCCAGGTTCTCAAATTTTTTCTATAGACTCTGGGTTTCGAACTTAGTTCTTTAAAAAATTCGGGAACCCGGGTTTTCAACTTTTTGGTTTAGAAAAAAATCTAAACCAGGGTTCTTAACTTTTACCAAAGAAAAAAATTTGGGAATCCAAGTTCTAAAATTTTTTCTATAGAAAACAATTCGGGAACCCAGGTTCTCATCTTTTTTTTCTATAGAAAATAATTCGGAAAACCCAGGTTCTCATCTTTTTTCTATAGAAAAAAATTCGGGAACCTAGACTCCCAATTTTTTTTTTTAGAAAAATAAATCTTGAACTCAAATTCTTAACATTTTTCTATTGAAAAAAATCGGAAACCAGGCACTCAACTTTTTTCTATAGAAAAATATTAGGTTCTCAAATTTTTTCTAAAGAAAAAATTCGGGAACCCACTTATTTCATTCCCAGTTGAGGTTCCCACTTTTTCCTACTTTCCTACTTTTTTCATTCCCATAATTTTTTCTGAAAAAAAATTAGAAGAGGGTATAAAATTGTCCTAACAATAATTAACCCCCCTTTTAGAGTCTCGATTAGGATGTACCAATTTCTTATTATATTCTCTACTCACCTCAAATTCGGTGGTCCACGACTGCGAGTCGTTTCGTTGTCACTGCTGTCATAACCCGACGAACCGGCCGTTGGTCCAGCTGAACTGTCACGAAAACCACGATTAATACGGCCACTAACACCACCACTACTGGGACCACCTCGGGCACCACCAGGACCCGGACCGGGTCGATGAGAACGTTGTGACCCAGCATTCGGTGGGAAGACTCGGGGTAAACCAAATTTCAGATATGTGTACATATTAGAGCCCAATGGTGATCTGAAATGAAAACGAAGCAAACCAATGCAATGAAGCAGAACAATCCAAAAAAATGCAAATAAACAAAAACAACAATGACTACAGAAACAAGTGGTTGGTTGCTGCACTTGTCGGCATAGCCATCAAAACTTCCAACTTACTTGGGACCATAGCGCGGATGATTGAGTATTGATTGTACTGTGGAATCGCGTAATTGAAAATTTCCATATGGCAGCGGTGATTTGTCAGAGGAGCCCAAAGCTGAATCGGTAAAATCCGAATTTAAATTTTGCCTAAAATGTGTGAGAACGAGAGAGAGAGAGATAAAGAGAGGGAGAGTGAGTGAGTGAGACAGAGATATACACATTGTTACATGAATAGAATTAAATTAAGTTAATAAACGGATGCGGTTTGGTTTGGTCTATGGTCAATGGCCATAGAACTCAAATAAACCAATAAATTACACTGGGAGTGGAATTTTCAAAATACAACTACAACAATAACAACAACAAAATCAGCAACAATAAAATTGTTAATGTTGAAAGCCCAATCAATGCAATTTTATGATAACTTCCGTTCATTAGTTTCTAATCAAGCGTAATGCAGTTCTGTTCTGTTCAGTTCGATTCGATTGGTTTTCTGGTTGGGCAAAAGAAAAACATAATTGCTCTTTGATTTCAAAATTAATTTTGTTATGTTATGTCATAAATGTTGTTTTTTTTTACATCAATTCCGACGGAAACTGAAAACTGCACCCAAAATACTTTCATTTTATTTTGATGTTCCACTCCATTCGATTATTTTTTCAATTCTATTCCATTCTACTGTTAATTTTTTTGTTGGTATTACCTGTATATTGACCATGCGTGCAAGTCTTCGGACGCTGCATGCGGTAATGGTGAGTTGGGTCCATGTGGCACTGAGTAACGCCTTTCCTCGCGTGACATTTTTTTCGTTGCACCAAAATTACTCAATTCCATGTTGGCCGGTGTTCTGCAAATGAAAATGAAAACAGATAGAAAAATTAATTAAAATTCAGTTGGCGTTCATTTCTATAATATTTTTTTCCAAAGGCTATAATAGGCGTGGATTTTTTTAAATATATTTTTTCCTAAGGCTATAATAGGCGTAGGGTTAGCGTAGGGGATGATAAATATCAAGCAGGCTTATCTTGGGCCCTCTTTCATCTCAATTGTGGACACTGACCTCCCCGCGGTGTCACCTGGGGTAGCTATTTTCATCGTCCGCGATTTCACTCATAAGAACTATAAAAAATGGGTTGAGGCGTCGGGTTAGTTGCCTACACTCAGAAAATCCAACCTACTATGAAAAAGCTAAGAAAAAGAAAAACAAACCCCCCTAATGTTGACGACCCCCGCAAACGTATAAAGAACAACAATCTTCGAATCTACACTTGGAATGTGCGCTCGTTGTACAGAATAGGCACAGTTTTCGCTTTGGCGGATGTACTCAAGAAGTACAAAGCCGACATTATTGTCTTACAGGAAATGCGATGGAAAGGGACAGGCGTAAGTAAAACAGGCGATTACGCACTTGTAGCATGAAACGAAACATGAATTTGGCTGCGGATTTATAGTTAACAGGAGAATAAAAGACCTCGTCTCCAGATTCACTCCAGTAGATGAGCGAATTGCTATCATCCGTATAAAAGCGAAGTTCTTCTACATCAGTCTTATTTGCGCCCATGCTCCGACCGACAAAGACAGAGAAGAACAGACCTAAGACTATTTTATGAGCGCCTAGAAACAGCATATGATCGTTGCCCTGGCCATGACATTAAAATTCTGTTAGGAGATTTTAATGCAAACATCGGAAGGGAAAATATCTTTGACCCCACCGTCGGAAAATTCTGCCTTCACAAAGAAACATCCTAAGTACAATGGCAAATAATTGCCCACTCCCTACAAACTCACTCAAGAAATCCATGGTACGATCAGGAGTGTCGTAATGCTACTGATGTGAAAAATGCAGCGTGTAGGGCAACTCTGAAGACAGTAGCAACATGTTATGCGGGGGAGAATTATCGGAAGAAAAGGAGAGAGGAGAAACGTATTTTCAGAAAAAAGAACAAGAAAAATGTGAGCGTGGGCAAATCGAGGAGTACAGGAGTCAGCATGAAGTCCGGAAATTTTGCCAACAAGTAAAACACCAAACCGAAGGCTTTGGTGCAGGAACATCCTCCTGTAGAGAGAAGGAAACCTGGTGACAGATACAGACAGTGTGTTGAGGATGTGGAAGGGTCATTTTGAAAGCTTCTGGTACCAAATAATGGCGGTCCAGAACCAATAATAGGTGACGGTATAGAGTATATACCACATAGCCAAGATGAGGTCAGAAAAGCATGGGTTACAAGCCGAACTATTCACTCGTGGTCAGATGCTGGTAAATAGCATGCACCAGCTGACTATTACAATTTGGTTAGAGGAATGCATGCCCATCCTGTGTCTCGTGCCCAAAAAAGAGGTAAGACGATATGTGTCAACTATAGAGGAATAAGTCTCTGATTAGCTGCTTTAAATTGTAAACCAAAGAACAACGATCTTCTGTTGCGATTTGAGGATCTGGAAGGAGCATTTTGGTATCAAATAGTGGCGGTGAAGAAGATACCCCAGAACCAATAAGAGATGATGGTATAGAGTATATACCACCTAACGAAGATGAGGTCAGAAGAGCAATAAATCGGCTGAAGAACAATAAATCAGCAGCCGATGGGTTACCAGTCGAACTATTCAAGACTAGTTAGTACAATTTAGCTAGAGGAGTGCATGCCCAATGATTTGAACCATGCACAAAAAAGGAGACAAGATGTTATGTGCCAACTATAGTGGAATAAGTCTTCTTTCCATCGCATATAAAGTGTTGTCCAGTGTGATCCTGTGTGAACGACTGAAGCCAATGGTCAATGACATTATTGGACCATGTCCAATTGGGCTTCAGACCTGGCAAATCCACCATTGACCAAATTTTCACTATGCGCCAAATCCTGGAAAAGACCCACGAAAAGCACATCGACACATTCCACCTATTTGTCGACTATAAATCAGAGGTGTTTAATTTCATATCTGCGTTCGGCATTCCTGCAAAATTAATACGGCTATGTTTCTATAGCTTCGAGGTAGTTAAATATTTTATATACTTTGGCACCGCAATAAATAAAACTAATGAAATCAATTTTGAAATTCGGATAAGGATGGTATTGACTAACAGATGCAACTATGGTCTAAGTAAGCAGTTTAGAAACAAGGTCACCTCCCGCCAGACCAAACTCACACTTTACAAGACGCTGATACTACCCGTGCTGTTATATGGATCTGGAGCATGGGAACTTGCGCAAGCCGATGAGGCAGCTCTTGGGGTATTTGAAAGAAAAATTCTCCGAAAGGTCGTATTGAACTGTAGCGTCTACGGAGGCTAGGTCATGTTGAGCGAATGAATGGGAATGCCCCAGCTCATATACAAGCGAGCCTATTGATGGTTCACGCAGAAGGGGAAGGCCACGAATTAGATGGAAAGGCCAAGTAGAATACAACATATCGGAACATATGATTTCCGACTCGCCTGGAAATCTTTTTTAAGCTCGGCTTATGGAACAACCGTTCTGTAACAAGCCAGCTAAGTAAGCAAGTAATAGGCGTGGATTTTTTAAATATAATTTTTCAAAGGCTATAACAGGCATGGATTTTTTGAAAATATTTATATTTAAATATTTATATTTTTCCAACGGCTAGATAATAATTGGCGTGCCATTTTTGTCAAGTCCTCCACTTTACTTCGTTAAATAATTATATAATCTATTTTAATTACATCACACAATTTTAATCAACATTGTTACAATTATGTCAATAGATAATTTTAAATTTAATAATAATTATTTTGTTTTTGTTTTTCAAAATTTTCCTTCGTCAATGTTATTATAACCGTTCATTTAATCAAAGTCATTATTGTTATTGAAGAGGAGTCGGAAAATAAATCGAAGAAGAAGAAAAAAATATATATTATATGGGAAATATAAACCACAACTACAACCCAGCCTGTAACTGGTAACTGAGAAATAAAAAAACAACAACAATACACAATAAATTGTGTGAATATAATATTTATAATATTACGTTAGCAAAACGGAATTTGTTTTTTTTTGCTATTGTTATTGTTGTTGCCACAAATGATGACATTAGATCAACTAACCACACAGTAGAGGAAATACGAATAGGGATGTCGATTTTGATGGGGTGGGAAATAAATATACAGTGGTGGCCACAGAATTAAAACATTTACTGTGGTAAACATTTTTTGGTCAGCCCTCGATTCGTTTGAAGTATTTTTGAAATTTTTTTAATTCAGAACACTTCGATATACTGCACTCAAGAGATTTAGTGTGAAAATGGAAAATTATTTCATGCAATTTTTCCATAAATAACGGTTTTTATGAAAATACATCGACTTTGAAGTGGCCATATAATTAAAACATTGTGTGATTTTTTACTAGACTGCATTTTTTGAAAATATTTTTTAAAAAAGCTCTTTAATTTAGTTAAATTATGTAAACTAAGCACCGATAAAATCATTTACTGATAAAAATTTTTGAAAAAATCTGTAAAATCTATCAAAAATGCCAAAAATGTGTTCAGTACACCTTACATTCAGAAAATAACCCTTATTATAGAAAATAAAGGTCCGAATGCACCAGAAATTTATAGAATTAGTAGAAAACAATAAATAATTCTCAAAATAAATAAATATTTGAAATAAAAACTCAAAAAATTGGAATTAACCTAAAAGAACGATTAAATTTCGATAGCCTTTATTGAAGAAGGCCGGAATATTTTTGCAGTATGTGAGGAAATATCGATTGATATTGGCATTTATTATATGAAATCGATTGTTCGAGTAGTACACAATATATTTGATCAAAAAATATACCAGTCACAACAGAAAGAACAGAGATCAACACCTAGGTTGACGAGTAAAAGTTTCTGCCACACAGCAGCATTTTTGATGCTCAACTCAAGACTTTAAATATTTGTCAAATTGTAAAATTTGTCTTTCATTTAGGCTAAAATAGATTAAATGGGCATTATTCTATTCAAAAAATATTATTTTGGAAAAATATTGTCATGTTCAATAGATTTTAAGGGTCAAGAGTTAACCATCAAACATGATGCTGTGTACCAGAAACGTTTTCTCGTCAACATAGGTGTTGATCTCTGTTCGTTCTGTTGTGACTGATAATTTTTTTGATGAAATATATTCTGTACTACTCGAACAACCGATTTGATATAATAAATGCCAATATCAGTCGATATTTCCTCACATACTGCAAAAATATTCCGGCCTTCTTCAATAAAGGCTATCGAAGTTGAATCGTTCCTTTAAGTTAATTCCCATTTTTTTGAGTTATTATTTCAAATATTTATTTATTTTGAGAATTATTTATTGTTTTCTACTAATTCTAGCAATTTCTGGTGCATTCGGACCTTTATTTTCTATAATAAGGGTTATTTTCTGAATGTAAGGTGTACTGAACACATTTTTGGCATTTTTGATAGATTTTACAGATTTTTTCGAAAAATTTTATCAGTAAATGATTTTAACGGTGCTTAGTTTACATAATTTAACTAAATTATAGAGCTTTTTTAAAAAAATATTTTCAAAAAATGCAGTCAAGTAAAAAATCACACAATGTTTTAATTATATGGCCACTTCAAAGTCGATGTATTTTCATAAAAACCGTTATTTATGGAAAAATTGCATGAAATAATTTTCCATTTTCACACTAAATCTCTTGAGTGCAGTATATCGAAGTGTTCTGAATTAAAAAATTTTCAAAAATACTTCAAACGAATCGAGGGCTGACCAAAAAATGTTTACCACAGTAAATGTTTTAATTCTGTGGCCACCACTGTATTTTCGAACAAGATCTATAATAGGTTTGAATTTTTTAAATATATATTTTTAAAGA